AGAGAGTGGCATGTTGCCACCAATTGCCTGGGCAAAGCCGAGACATACAGGTTGAAGCAACAAGAGGGAAAAGGTCAGTAGGGAAGGTGAGGGCTGGCTGTATTTACAAGTTTACACATGCACACACACACACAATGCAGTTGGTGCATTCTTTGTTTCCCCACTCTCTTCCTTCCTTCCTTTTTATTTTTATGTGTTACGAGGACACATTATCAGGCAAATATTAACCGCTCCATCGTGGCACATACAAATTTGTTTCTTTGTGGCTCTCCAGGCTCGTTGTGTCACGAATTGTCGCCTATTTTGTTACTACTTTTCCATTTCTTTATTTCACTTGCGTTTGCCCCTTCTCTGTGCTACCAGTAAGTACAGGCGTGCTTGAGAAAATGCTGCTGAAGAGATTGCATGAAAATTCTTTCTCTCTGATATTTATCTGAAGCATGCTAGAGTGGTGGTGTTATATTTGTGAAACACTTCACCAAAAACGCAGATGCACACAAACCTTTGATGAAGTGACTATATAGGATCACTTTCATTCCTCTTTCCTCTCTGTATTGTTCACACACACCCACATCTAATCTAGAGAAAGTAAAGATCACAGAACAGAACACTACAGTAATGTAGAAACCATAGAAATAAATAAGAAAAACCAAGTAAAAGAGAAAAATTTCATGACTTTGGTTTCATTTCAGGGGAATGTAGAACTCCATAACCCAGGGAGAAATTTCTGCAGGGATTTTGCATTAGCCGATTTCCTATAATTTTTTCCATATAGTCAGTAAATGTGCAGAGTACTAGACTAAGTATGAAATATTATCACCTGCTGTATCTTCTGCTCTGAGATTGCTGTTTATTCAATGTTAGTCAATGTTAGTGAGAATGGGTTTTAGTGAAAATTCATATTGTTAGATGTAGCAATTATGTATCTGTTCTAAGATTGTAGGCATAGCATCCATTGATGACATTTCGTGTTCATTGGTTTTAGCCACACTTTCCCTGCATTAATTTATCTACAATTAGTCTGATTTTGTTTCTCTTCTATTTTATAGTTAAAGTTGCACACTACAGTATCTCACAACAAGATGTTAGGAATCTTCAGTGTTTATAAGTTAATCTATTTGTATTTTATACTATAGATCAGGCATAGACAAACTTTCTACTTTAGGGGCTACATAGCAGGCCGAAAGGGAGGGGGTTCTCCCCAAATCCCCTCCCTGCCCTTTCCTCTCCTTCCCCTTCTCTTTTGGAGGCAGAAAATGAAGTAAAGGTGGAAAATGTTTGGATCTCAAAAGGGTTGACCTTGCTCAGGATGAGATGGCGGGTGGGAGAAAAAAGGTGTACCCATCTTGCTACTCCTGATATAGAATCCTAGAATCCTAGAGCTGGAAGAGACCCCCAAGGGCCATTCAGCCAAATGCCCTGCCATGCAGGAAGGCACAATCAAAGCACTCCCAATAGACAGACTCTGTGGAAAAGCCTCCAGAGAAGGAGACTCCACCACAATCCGAGGCAGCCTATGCCACTCTCCAACAGCTCTTACTCTCAGGAAGTTCTTCCTAATCGTTTCAGTCAAATCTCTTTCTCTACCATTTGAAACCATTGCTCCCTTGTGCCTTGGTCTATTGAGTAGCAGAAAGTCCATTTTCCCCCACCTCTTCAATGAGACAACCTTTAAATCTTCAAACATGGTTCTCATGTTCCCTCTCTACCTTCTCTTCTCCTAACTAAACATTCCCCAGGAAGAAAGGAGGAAGGAAAAGGAGAAGGAAGGAAGGAAGGAAGGAAGGAAAGGAAGTATGGAAGAGTGGAGGGAGGGTAGCGAGGGAAAGGAGGGGGAGGGAAGAAAGAGAGAAGGAAGGAAAGACAAAAGGGAAGAAAGCAAGCAAGCAAGGAAGGAGAAAGAGAGAGAGGAAAGGAGGAGGGAAAGAGGGAAGAAAGAAAAGATGAAAGGGTGGTAGGGAAGTAAAGGAGGGAGGGAGAAGGAGGTAAGGAAGGGAGGCAGGGAGGGAAGGAGGAAGGAATGAAAGACAGAAGGAAGGATAGAATGATAAAGAGGAGGGCCCGAGAAAAGAGCCCAGAGGCTGCATCTGGCCCCTGGGTCTGGGTTTACCCATACTGCTGTAGATGCATTTCTTCACCAATTTCTTTCTCCAAAAAAAGCAATGACTATTTTTAGAAATTTTATTCTAGCTGTAAGGAGGTCTTCAAAATCTACATGGTTTTCAAAGAATATTTGCATTTTAGATTTTATTCTTCACAAAATTCACTTGGGGGTGTTTTTATTTTGTTTTGCCTTGTCATTGTGAACAGAAAACATTGTTTCCTGCACAGAAATAGTACTTTGTGTTCCTATTATTTTCTGCACATAAGATGTTGTGTCTTGAACAGATTATAATGTAGTTGGATACAGTGTAAATATTGCACATACAATAATGTTTCTACAGAAAATGCTCTTTTCTGTGCTGCTGATTCTGATTTCTGCACCAACCAGAGCTCTGAGCCATTCTCCCACCTGTGCCATTGTATTGATTTAAGAAATCTTTCTACATTCTTATCTTAAGCTTGATGTGATTTCTGGGTATTTCAGACATTCCCTTCTCCACAAACGGTTGTTATCAATTCAGACTTAGACAAGCTTTTATGGAATTGATTATTAGTAGAGGTTTTTATACAGTAGAAGAAATTGAGATAACCTGGTTTAGAGGGAGGTTTTTTGTCTAATTTACATGTAGGTGGATTGACAGCTTTTCACATGCTACATGCAGGAAAATATCACATCAAAAGCAAGATACACAATCCAGGAGCCTAACTATTATTGTGACCTCTGTAGGGGAGAGAATATATATCTTGCTCTGTTCTTCAGTGGCATAGACCCAACATGTGTAAATGTTATAGCCATTTTGAATCCTAGTCCTGATTCAGGACTCCTAGAAGAAAAGTGGGTTACAAGTAAATACAATCATACGTTCAGAGATGCAATGCATCCAAGGCTTACAGGATTGAAATGACAGGATATTTTGATTTGCAGGGAAAATAATCTCATTTGCCAATTTGTTGCTCCCTGCTTTCCTGCTCCTTTTGAAACAGTTGCAAACCTCACAGTGCCCAACGAATGGGTAGATCATTGTCACAATCTCTCTTTTTGTGAGCTAAGGTATTCACAGAAGGGAGGGAATTTTAAAAATACTTTACAAAAGACCTGCTCTCAGTGAAGATGAAAACTGCAAAAAGTGGCCTCTTAATATGGCTGAATAGATCATCCCACATTTCTAGTCTCTCCTTAAGGTTATTGATGAAGACTAGCTACCATGAGAAATACCTCTACTTCTAATATTACTGCTACATAATTGTCTATGTGGTTGGGAATTCTTCAAAAATCAGGATTCTCACTCACACTAACAAGTCTTCATAAACATCGTTTCTATGAAAGTATTTGTATAAATTAAACATTGAAAACGTACATTTCAGATATGGAAAAGACAACTATTTTCATACCAAGTCAATGGGAAATTAGTGCTTCATTGACTGTAAAGTGAAAATCTGGAATTTTGCATATGCCTTTCCAAGTTATTGGCAAGGATCCAATCTAAACAGGGGCCATGGTGGCACAGTGGGTTAAACTACTAAGCTGCAAAACTTGGTGAGGTTGGTGGTTCGAATAAACCAACAGGGTGAGCTCCCATTGTTAGCCCCAGCTTCTGCCAACCTAGCAGTTCAAAAACATGCAAATGTGAGTGGATCAATAGGTACCACTTCGGCAGGAAGGTAATGTTGCTCAATGCAGTGATGCTGGTCACTGTCTACAGACAATGCCAGCTTAGAAATGGAGATGAGCACCACCCCCCAGAGTCAGATACAACTAGACTTAATTTTAAGGGGACACCTTTATCTTTATCTTTAATCTAAACAGTAAAAGGAACAGAAAATAAAAATGGTATTAAAAAGGATGATTCCGGATTTGGGAGCTCCACACATAGCCAAGCAAGTGACATTATATCTCTGCCAGATTTTGGAAAGTTATATCTTAAAGTAATTCATTATTACTATTGTTTCAATGCTCAAATGCACAATTTTATGATGATGAAACTCTGTCACTGACACAATGCACAGCCACATTGGAAAACAGCAACAATGCATAGTGGAAAGATGTCCAAGATGTTCAATTGAACAATGGGAATTCCCACCACACAATAGAGGACAAAAAAGGTGGAAACATGTTGTCAGCTCAGTGCAAAGCACCCATAATTTTCCAGTTTTGTCCATTCCAAATTACCATCGTCGTGTGTCTCAGATAGGCAATATTGTCCCATCTCATTCCACAGTTATTGTGCAGGGGTGGCCTGTATCACAAAGGTTGTAATATGAGGTATTACTTTTTATTACTTTTTGGGAAACCCAATAATCCAAAAAATGTTTTAAAGTAAACATTACATATAGCACAAAAAGTGACACTGTTATGAGTCATTACAGTATTTCCAAAAGGAACATTGTTATACATTAATCACCTCTGGGTTGGGTGGTGTAATTCAAATTAAATTTTCTTTCACTCACTCATTTTGTAACATTGCAGTGAGTGAGACATTGAAACTGTTTATGCGGAGAGCTCTTATATTTGTTCTGTTCGCATTCCCTAGTAATTTTGCCAGCCGCTCTTCTTTGGATGCTTGCACTACAGTTCTAAGTGCAAATGAAACTGAAGTTTTAAGTTACTATAATGCTAGAAACTTAGTGACTGAAGGATTTCATTTTGGGGAAAGAATTCTCACTTGAGAGAAGTGCTTCATTTTACCCCCATAGTAGCTCCACCCTGTCAGTTCTAAAATGGATGGGTAAAAGGACTATAATTATAATAATAGTTTCTCATGATGATAAACTTTAAAGTTCTGTAAAAGGCATCCTGCACCAACACTTGATCAATGAGATATTCTCCCCCCCCCCCCCCCACTTCTGAGGCTGGATTTGCACTGACACAAAAATGTGGGGCTGATCCAGCATGGTGTATGCCAGGTCAGCCTCAGTATGAGTCACAAAGAGATTCCCCCAGCTATTCAACCCCAGCCAATGTCACTGCTGGCAATGGCCAACAGGTAAGACCACCATTCCTGGGGCTGCCATTCACCCTGTTTGTGAATGGCAGCCCCAGGAATGGGAAGGTTGTGGCTGTTTATGGGACTCTTTCAGACTTGCTTTCTGTGGCTAGTACAAAGCTTGGAATAAAAGCAACAAGTGTTTACAATGGGAGAGGGGGACTCATTGATAACATTGCTCTTGTTAGGAATGATGATGTCCTTTTTGTATGTGAAGGGGAACCCTTTATAGATCTCCAGACTGATATAAACACCCCAGAAGCATTAACAGGCTCTCATTCAGACTGGATCACGCTCAGTGTTGGGGGGCGGTATTTCACAACTACTCGGAGCACATTAGTTAGTAAGGAACTGGACAGCATGCTGTCTCATATGTTTAAAGTTAAAGATTCCTGGGGAAACAAACAGGATCACAGAGGAGCCTTCCTGGTTGACCTGAATACTTTGAGCCAATTTTGAACTATTTGCGCCATGGACAGTTCATTGTTAATGAAGATTCTGGGCTTTCCAAGACCAATAAACACAGAATGTTACTGGGAACAATTGCTGCTGGTTCTGTTTAAGAACTTGGTCAGCCATTCCAACAGGCTCAAAGTCAGAGGATAGTCCAAATTCAGGTCCCAAATTAGTACTATCCCCTGACTTTGGTTAACAAAGGGTACAGTTGTAATGTATTTACAAACACAAACAAAGTTTAAGAACTTGGCATTATACTAAATGTCCTTTGACCAGTAACTGGCCACTTGGAGTGCCTCTGGTGTTTGTATAAGAAGGTCCTCCATTGTGCAAGTGGCAGGGCTCAGGTAGCATTGTAATAGGTGATCTGTGGTTTACTCTTCTACATACTCGCATGTCGTGGGCTTCTCTTTGTGGCTCCATTTCTTAAGGTTGGCTCTGCATTTCGTGGTGCCAGAGTGCAGTCTGTTCCTTCTTCCAAGTTGCCCAGTCTTCTGTGTGCCCAGGGGACACACAGAATCAATAGATCCTTTCTGAGACATTCTCCTATGAGAATGGTTCATTTATCATATCAGAAATGAACAGAGGGTACAGTTGTAATGTATTTACAAACACAAACAAAGTTTAAGAACTTGGCATTATACTAAATGTCCTTTGACCAGTAACTGGCCACTTGGAGTGCCTCTGGTGCTGCAACAACAACAACATCCTGTTGTGCTTAGTGCAATGAACTCTTATATATCAGTGGTGGAAAAGGTTGACTTCCGTATCAACTGCCTATTGAAAAAGATCTGACAAAGCTGGAAATTTAATGTAATTTACCCCTTGACCTCCAGGAGTGGATCATTTTCTTTCAGTTTTGTTTTCCAGTTCTAGTGGGTGGGGATCTAGGTGCCGCTCTCAAGGGAGGAGGGTAGCAGTGTCCCCACAACCTAGAGCAATAATTGCTTACTGCTGTCATTATCTATGAAGATTTTCACATACCTTTTGATTGGTGTTTGTAGCATTATGTAAAATAATGCCATTGTTGCAATAAATGTTGTCAAATTACATGGTTCAATTAATTTTCATTCAAAAAATAAAATTCAGAGAAGAAAGAATTCCTCTCACATAATTGTCCTTTTGGCAATGTTTCCAGGGGAGGGAAGGAAAACACATAATCTGTGTGGCTGTCATAGCCAAGTCTCTTCTAAGAGAGAGCTGTTGACATGCATATTTCTCAGTAGGATGGGTTCTTTCCTTAACAAAAGATTTTTGAGCCCTTAGAATTTGATGTTGTTCATACAAAATAAACTAAACTCTGCTTGATTTTTGTCAGATGGCATTAAGAGAAAGCTGGAGAGCTTCTATTGCCTTTTTTAAAGACTTTTTTTCCCTCAGGAATGAATAAAATATGAATTTAGTTCTGAATGTTAGAAATGTTTTGCTGTGAAGAATAAATTCAATGTCTGTTGATGTGTTTAAATAAAAATGTGCCAGATCTGTGGATAATAAAAAGATATTAGCAGACAGGAAACTAGAAAAAGAGTTCATGTGCACCTTCTGGATTAGGTTATTTATATTCTCAAAAGCAACTCTCCAAAATCTTTGTTTTCTCTCCTCCCCCTCCCCCCATACAACATCTCTCTCATTTCTGTAGACTCTCAAGATGCATATAGCACTTGCATATTTACAAGAATTTACTTCTGGCCCAGCTTACCGGTCTGAATGTATATCTCCTTATGAACCATCTAGGAACTTAAGATCATCTGGGCAGACCCTGCTCTCGATCCCACCTTCCTTGCAGGCTCATCTGGCAGGGCCTTCTCAGTGGTGGCCCCTCAGCTGTGGAACTCCCTCCCTAGGTATATTAGTTTGGATCCCCTCCCTCCCAATTTTCCAAAAAAAGTAAAAACTTGGCTCTTTGAACAAGCTTTTGGAAATGCAGCATAACAGATAAACATGAAACTATGAAGAATGAACATGGAATGGCTATATGGTGCTATTGAAAAATGAGTTTAACAGGACGACATTTTACGAACATGTGGCATCGAATTGTTGCCAATCTGTAACTTGCCTTGAGTCACCTTAGGACTGAGAAAGGCGGGCTAGAAATACCGCAAATAAATAAATAAATAAATGTAAATATACAATATCTCATATAGATTACAGTAGTTTATTTTTTGGACAAAAGCTCCCAGAATCTCCCATACAACCTGTGAAGCAACCTGTGGGAAATAACTTTTAATATGAGTTATGATAGATAGTCAATGAGAGAGGGTAACCCCATGGGAATAGCTATTCAAGGCCTGTAATATTAGGATGCTGGATTAATATTTAAGTTTACAAATATGGGTCACTTCTCAGAACAATTAAGTGCTTTCTCTGGGTTGTAAAACTAAACATCTGTGAGTAGACCATTTCTTTGATGGCATCACAGATAGTTAGAAATGTGGCTTCTGTAAAGTGGGACCTTTCCTGTTTGCTTCCTGATGATAAAGTTCCTTCCAGAAGGAAACATATCTGGTATAGCCCTACTATTGATTATATAGCAGGCAAAGTTTATCCTTTTTTAATTCAGACTCTTGAGTTTTTCTCATGAATGTATTGTTGTACTGTTTAGGATCATCACGTTTGCCTGCTTGGCTTATTACTTGCTGCTAGATTTAATTACTGTTGCTTTAGGGTTTTAAAAAATTACTTTGCAGTTGTTTATTCTGATATTTTTATCCACTGTTTTTACTTGTTTTATGGAATGTTTTTATTGTTTTAATGACTCGTGATTCAGCTGTCTCGAATACCCTGCAAGATTGCATACACTTTTAACAAATTCAATTAGTTAATGAATGTGACAGTTCTACAAACTGATCATATTTGTTGTTGTACCTTCAAGTCATTTCTAATTTACGGTGACCCTAAAGTGACACTTCCATGAGTGTTTCCTGACAAGATTTGTTCAAAGGTTTGTCTTTGCCTTCCTCTGAGACTTGCGAGACTGTGACTTGCTCAAGGTTTGAACCCTGAGTCATATCTCCAGAGTCATAATCCAATGTTCAAACCACTACACCATGCTGCTTCTCCTCTGATCACATAATATGCTAACAAAGAAAGACTACAAATAGAACAAATGAAGGATCTGAACAGGATAAGAAGAGAATCAGGAAACTAAAGAAGAGAGATGGAGTTGTTTTGATACTGGCTAATTGTGCTTTCCCACAGAAAACAAAGTTACAAAGAGAACTTTCTTATCAAACAAGCATAGCAAGGAGAACCTGATTTACCAGGATATATATGAATGATTATATCACAAAGACAGTCTACCTGATAGAGGACAGCCACATTATAGATGAGTTCATCCAATCAAGGAATCCTTGGCCTCAAGTTTGAAGCTCTTGGAGGGCTCTCATTCATGGGGTCACTATGAGTGTAAGATGCCTTGATGTCAAACAACAACACTCTTCCTGGGGCTTGTATCATCCTTACATAATCTTAGGACCTCTTTGCATGGGCGGTTTTTGGCAGTGGTGATGGGTTTTTGGCAGGTTTGCCATGGAGCCTGATGGCTCCCCTCACACTTCAGGGAAGTACTTCTGGGGCAGCTCTGTGGCAAAACTGTCAAAAAAAATCCCAAAACAAAGAACAAACCCTGCCGCCACCAAATAATTTCCGGCGGCACACAACAGGCTTCCCATCTTTCCATAGCTTACTGAGGCTTCCTCCATGTGATGAGGTAGGAGGGAAGCTGAAACGGTGTGGAGCAATAGGTCCCAAGACCCCCAGAAATGTGATGATACTCAGTGATTCTGGCAGCACATATGAAGAGGTCCCTAGAGCAACAACAAGACTTGAAATCAGCTTCTTTGCATTTGTGATCTCTAGTCTGCTAAAAATGTAAGTGAAACAGTGTTTAGGAAATGTCCAAGGCCTGAAAACTAACTGTCAGCTTCTGTTTCTAACAGTTTGTTCTTCTTCCACCCTACTATCATTTTGGTGAGTTCTTATGGGTTATTTCGTAAATTGGCTAAATTTTGGCAATTTGAATTCTTCTGCAATTTAATTTGCCACCTTTTTCAGAGTTCTGCAATCACAGTTAAGAGTGCTCTAGAATACCATCCGCATGGGAAGATCAGATGTGTTTGTGCACGCATGCATATTTGCTCATTTAGGCATAGGACAAGAAACTATTTAAATCTGAGCTGTTATGAAAACCGAGCCAAGAAAACCTGGAGAAGACTGAAATAATTTCTGCTTGTTTCCAAATATATCGTATGCAAAAAGAGGAGGAAGAAAATTTCTTTTTAGGAAAAAAAGCAGAAAAGAAAAGGGCTTGTAAATGTCAGTTTGCAAGTCTATATTTCACTGACAGTAAGGACTCATTTTCTATTAATTCCCAGAAGATTCATATAGCCTTTCCAGTGACATTTATTTTGGATTTGATGAAACTCAATAGATTCCATTTTATCCTGATATTATCTGCCTTTATTTAAAAAAATACAATGAGGGGGCCTTTCAATCTGGAGTCTTGGGAATGGTTAACTAAAAGTCAGGTGCAAAACTGTTTAAAATAAAGTTGTTCAAACCGATCGTTACAGGGGGAAGAAATTATTTTGAGCACTTCGCTTTTGATTTTGCCAAGATTAAATCATTTCAGGATAGATCTGGACCAGATTTCTTTAATCCAGTGAACTGCTAATATCTTGGATAATAAATCACATAATCCCCACTCAATATTAATTTACATCACTTAGAATGAGCCAGCCTGAGAAAATCTAGTCTTTGGGATTCCGCTTCCCATTCTCTTGAAATTTTCGTCTCTATATCAAATGTTAAAACTTCCATAAAGACTTTGAGTTTGGGTCATCTGCTGAACATTAAAGAACATTCTAAATGTATATGTGCTTTTGAAGCCTTCAGGTTCATAGACATTATTTATCTGAATAATGGATTGTCACCTTTTTTGTGGTGAGGGGGCTTGCGTGTTCCATTGAACCCGCGGGTTGTGGTGCAGCTAGTTAGTAGCCAGCTGCATTAAATCACTACTGACTGAGAGGTCATGCTATTGTTATGAATGTCCTATTAATAACTGTTTTAAAGTAATATCTGCTCCCAGCTAACAATTTTTTGGAGG